GGCAGTGAAGGACAGGAAGGCCTGGCACGATGCGGTTCATGGGGTCACGAAGAGTCGGACATGACTTAACGACTAAACAAGAACAGGATTGTCAAGTGTGGACTGCCCAATCAGAATATCTCACCCTGATGGAAAGACAGTTTAAGTGAAAAGAACAACAGCTTCTTATGATGCATCAGCTATAAAAACATCCCCAACAGAAATCTGAAAGCAATTCTCCAGCACCTTGAGAATAAGTTTTTTTTGGTTTGTTTTTGTTTAAAAAAAGGCTTTTTCTCAGAGGAAGAAAACTTTTGAGAAGCAGAAGGCAAATTCCAGCATAGCAGTACTGAACTCAACAATACCGCAGTATACCTCTGAGCATTTCATGAAAAGTCTTTTCTGTTTGAAAGTAATTTGAAAAGCACATTTTCTTTCTTCAGATCGAAGGAAAATGCTGGGAGGAGGGGGGAACTGAATGAAGGAGCCAAGGAAGAAATGAGACTCACAATGCTGTAAGGAAACAAAACGCTTTTTCCTTGAGTCACTACTCAGTGTGATCAGAAGAAACATTCCCTTCTGACTTCAAAGATAGCAAAGATATCGGTCCATCAAGGAAATCCAAGTGGAAGCTTTGCCTCGGTTTCAGGACGGCCTATCTCAAATTTACAACTTATCTTGACAGCATGAGGTGGCTGTCAAGTGAGCAAGTGCTGTAAGTTTTTTAGAGATATTTTTTAAAAAAAACAAGCCAAGAATGATATCTTGGGACCATCCTGAACCATCATAAGGAATTCAGGAGACAGAGAAACATGGAAGGAGGGAGAACGATTTTTGAGCTGTGTCTACCTTTAATTACAATCTTAGTTGGCACGGAGGAGTTGACAATAAAGGCTCCACTGAGGGCTCCCCAAAAGTTGAGGAGATCAAGAAACAAGCAAACCAAACTTGTCTCCAGATGTGAACAAAATTTTAAAAGCCACAGTTAAAACCAACCCCTTTTCCATGATAGTTGCCAGGAGAAACACCATGAAATTCTAGAGAGAGTTAGTGACCAAGGTCTCTGGACTTTCCATGTCTTTAGAAGAGAAACTGTCAACTCAAAAGCTGAGAAGAGTTTGACAACCCAAAGCATGTAAGCACTTGTACCAGTCTGACAAGCCCCCTCCCCAAACCCTTCTTTGCTTCATCCATAAACATTTTTCATTCACCAGGAAGTTGGGGTGGGTATGAATATCAAAGGGTTGTTTCATTTATCTAGTTATCTGCATATTGCATACACAAGGTAGCTTATTCACTGAGATACCACCTCACAATACAATCAAAAACCAGCCTAAGAACTAAAAAAAAATAAATGTAAAAGCATTACACCCTAAAATGTAATAATATAATAGCAGAGTGATGCAAAGCTTCAGTGTAAGGACAATCTACTCATCTGAACTTTCAGCATAAGGGCAGTTCACTCATATCATACCTTCAGGTCAAATCTCCAGATTGATTTGCTACATCAGATCAAATCAGGGGCCTTCAAATCAATTTGAAGATTTGAAGGACTTTTGCACATGCTTTTATCCAATCAAATCAATGTGTTCTGGCAGTTTGAATGGACTGTTCAAATCAATTTGTCAAACTGAATCTAATCTTGGTGGAGCCACATAACCATATAAAATCTGAAAGATCAAATCAGTCAAATCACAAGTAGATAAAATTACCTCTCTGAAATTCTGTCTTGAATTCCCAGAAACTATAAAATGCTTCCATGCACGAAGAGAGAGAATTCAGTCTTAGGGATCGTCATAATTGTGGGTGAGAGTCCTAAAATCCGAAGATGTAACTAAGGTTGCTTAATGCAGAAGACAAGAACTAAAAGAATTCTGAACCTTGGAATTTGTTTTGAGTACTAGAACAGAACCCAATTCACAGTCTTTCCAACCCTCAAAATTAACTTCTAATTACATCTTAACGCTCTTCTTTCACCAATACAGCACATGTGTGTGCATAAAAGAGAGTGTTTTTATTGCTACACTAGTTCAACAACAGTTCAGAAATTCTCGCCAGTCTTCTGCAAATCGGCCAGCTATATCTCTTTTTTTCAACCTTGTACCATAACAAGTCCTCATCAGTCTTGTGATTTAGAGGGAGGCCTCCTTGAGAAGCAAACAATCCCAGAATTAGGCTGCTGAGGTTATACGGGGATGTGGAGGAAGATATAGTAGTGACAATAGTAGCTTACAATTGTACAGAACCCCTTGGAGACCCACTTTGATTCAAAAAGTCTGTTTTTCTCCCTGGAGGCCACCAACAAGAATGTTTGGATGGAACCATAAATATGGTAGGACTGTTATAGGCCATCGACAGCCAACATTTGGGATTCAGCGACAGTGCAACCTATAATGGTAAGCCGTGTGACTGATAATGGTCAACTTTTTTTTTTTTAAAGTGGCTTATTAAATGCACCTTGGCTGAAAGAAGAGGTTTCTCCTAATGTTCAGCTCAAATCTAGTCTCCTTCAACTTAGATCCATGTATCTTATCCCATTTGGGAGAAATCCTTGGTCCATTCAGCCCTTCCGTGTGACAGATAATGAATATTCATGTCTTCCATGTTTCCACAGAAGACTTTTTGGGGCATGCTCCTGACCTCCCCACTGTCTTCCACAACCCATTCCAACGTACCTGCCTCCTTCTTAAAGCAACAGACATCAGTGGATCCAGTTTTCCAACCAAGATCAGATTAACGTGAAGGGAAAAGAAGCAATCACCTCCCACCAACTGCATTTCTACTCAAGCAGATAAGAATTCCACGTGACGCTTATTCCAATGCATCACACCACCAGCTCGTATTCCACTGGTGATAGCATCTCAAGATTGCAATCTTGCAAATACTATTACATGGCTCATCCTACCTGTATATTTTATATCGGGTTGTAAATCCCTGACGATGTCTTTCCACAAAGGATAAGTAGCTCCGTGAGTGGTGGAAGGGCCCCCTGTCTGAAATAAGCCAATCAAATTCCTTGGAGACATGTTGGTTGGTCACAGCAGGCTCCTGGTGGGAAGGGTGTACAGTTATATGGTCCCATATAAAGAGGAAATAGAGGAACTCAGCAAGCCTCCAGTTCATGCTTTTCTGTCTGCCTTTTCCCTCTCATTCTTGCGCCATTCCGTGGAGTCCTGGAGGGAAAGAGAAGGAGAGGAAAGGGGAGAGAAGGGAAATAGAAAAGCAGGGCAGGTGGAGAGATTTCTAGGGTTAAAAAAGGTGCAAGAGGCAGAGTAATTTAATTTTATCCAAGTATTCTGCTGGATCAAATCTAACCCAATTCACCATGCAATTTTAGGGGAGCGTTTTTCTTGTTTCCATCCATTATTACACCAAACTTAATCCTTCCTGCATCGGCCTGTTACCGGCACTCTGGATTGTGAAGATGCATGGGGTAAGGGGGGAACCAAAAGTAGGAAAAGCTGAAGAAACCTAGCTGAAAGAGTGGTGGGTATCTCTTTAGAGTTGGGACTCAGGCTTTAAGAAGCAACCTGGAGTTCCAATGGAGAAATCCAAAGCTTATAGGCAAAGCTGTTAGAGACTGCACTGAAGTGGACAAGCAGATCAGACTCTTCAAAGACTCAAGTCCAAAATGTTATGGCTGGGCTCACGTGGAAGTTGGAATCGCTCATATTCGAGTTAACAAACTAGCTGCAAGTTAGTTCTGCATCAAGCAATTAAGAAACAAAGCACAATTAAACATTGTCAGAAGTGATTAGGTAAATACGTTGAGTAATTAAGCCCATGATTTGTGGGCTGCTATATTGGCACGAATGGATGGTGTCATAAAAAAGAGGTGGAAAGTTACTCCCGACAACATCAGGATCTGGGGTGGGCTGAGCACCATGGTCTAGCTTTGTCATCAGATAATCTAGTTTCAGATTTGGCTAAGCAGCTGTGACTGTGCCAAATCTCTTAGGTAAGCCGCTTTACAGATTCAGTGGTGGCACGTGGAAGGGGGGGAAAAAAAGAAAATAATGTATATTAAAATTGATTCTGTGCAACCTTTAAGAGGTGCTGTGCTTATTTGTTTAATTGTGGGATCCTTGGGGTTCTTTCTTTAATTGTTTTTGAGGATTTGAGGATCGCGAGCCGCCTTGTTGTGAAAATATGGATCTGAACACAGCTCATAAATTCCTCAATAAATCTGTACATTTGGGGGGGATGCATAAATCTACCTGTAGCAATGGAATCCCCATGTTCAGTGGTAGTATACCCTTGAATAATAACAATTGGATAGTGTGAGCTAATGAATGCAAGACCTGGTGAACATCTGGCACGATCCAGCTGGATTATTCCCCTTCTGTGATGACGTTCTGCCTTTAAACCCAGAGACAGTGCTATTTAAAGTCCGCTAAATATCCCATTTCAATTTTGTCTCCCTTCTGTTAAGGCCCACAAGAGACTTTCAGTCCACTTTACACTCTTCCCCTTCACACCTCGCATCAGTTTTCCAACATCTGTTCCCTTGCAAACAAGATGTTCTTTCACATCCCTGGCCCCATGCAACCTGTGTTCCTGCTAGAGTTGGGGGAAATCAAAACATTACAAAACTCGATAATGAAACAAGCCTCTTTGCACTTGTAAGTTCGCACATAATTAATCTGTGTGCAAGTTTGATCAGCAACATCCCACATTCTGTTTCCAAGCATGAACAAACAACAACTTTGAAAGAAACACATCTAAACAGGGTGGAAACTTTAAGTATCAAGTTCTATGTCAAAAATTCAACAACCGCATCTTTGAGATAGAGATGTGCTCCCCACACATTAAATTGTGCCCATAGTAGTGAAACAAAAGGGAGCTCTTGGTGGGAAGCTGCACCCACAGAACATACTAAGCCACAGCTGGTTCCAGCATGATGTAATAAATAAACCATAATTGGTTGGCTTCATGAAACATAGTAAGCCATAAAGATGGTTGACTGGTCAAAAGTTGGGTTCAACCCACATGCTAAGTCCAAACTAATGAAGCATTGAATGTGTTGTGTACAAACTTTACTTCAATGGGCCCCATCCTAAGAATGCTTAAGAATGTTGTGCTACCAGAAGTTGGACTAGCTGTTTTTTCCTTGAGGAACAGGGAAAAGAGAGTTTATCCCAAGACCAGCATGCTATTTGTCCACCATTACATGGACTCAGTCTGGTGAGAGTGGAATCTAACTTAGACTGAAGAAGGAAAAAGTGCATTGCACCAAAAGTGGGAGGCCAGCACCCACTCCCCATCCTCCAACACTTTATCTTCCCAAAGTATCTGCTACCTGAGGCTACCCCCCCTTTTTTTTTTATATGAGGGTTAGCAAGAGAAAAGGAAATAGCAGGTTCAATCAGAAAGCAGCGCAGATCAGTCAATTGCAGGGAACTGTCCCTGTACCTTTTCAGAAACCATAATTGGAAAGCAGGCAAAACCAGAACCAAACCCATCAGATTATTTCTCAGTGTAATACATGACCCTGCTCAGAGACTGGCCCAAAGTCAGGCCCAAAAATATTTGTAGCTGAGTTGAACTCAGGCATCGCTTGTCCAAACACCACCTTTCCAACCTTGACAACTTACTGGGTCTTGTACAAATGCACACCTACGTACACACACAGATGCAACATGGGTTGTGTGTTGAAAGTCCTCTAGAGATGGTTAAGCAGCAGGAAGCTATTGCACCAAAATTCAGAGGCGGATTTGAAAGGACATTGTTTGAGCTAGAGAAGGGATCAGGCTGTCTGGAACAGAGTTTTGAACTTCAAACAGCAAGGCTGACCTTCTAGGTTTCTCCTCCAGCAGATTGGGATACAGAGATCAAATGAGGAAAGTGTCTCCAAGACAAATCCCTCATCAATCAAACTCCCACTGCCTTTTCTTTTCCACCCTAGGCATTAGCTTGCCCCTTCTCTTTCTGTGACAAGCTGAAAATTGTTGTTTCTCTCTCTGTAGCCTGTACAAAATGGAAGGGGACAGAGAGATACAGCAGAGTGCAGAGGTGGAAATGAGGCAATGCTTATCAACTCTTGGTCTCCCAAAACAAACGCACCCTCCTGGAGCTTGAAAAAGGTCTATCCCAGTTGAAAGAAAGACTGTGTATTTGAGTCAATTTGGTTGCAGTCAATGTTCCCTAGTGTTCCTGGAGTCTTCAAGCAAAGCCATAATATGACAGGTTCAGGAGCCCTGTTATAAATTAAAGTGCCCTCTGCAACAAACAACTTTTGAAAAACTGAACTAAGAGAACACAGAAGCTTGGATAACTTTATCAGGATGTCAAGACCCTAGGAGTAATCTGACAATACCAAAGACAAACAACTCCGACTCTGTTGCATAGCCCATAATATCCAGCTATATGCACCATTGTTACTGAAACAATCCTACCAGACTTAAAGGCATTTACTTGGGGATGAATGAGTCTGAGATTGCTCTCAAGATTAAAATTATCTAAGTTTTCATAGACTTTAGATGATCTCATTGGACTGCAGTGTCCTTGTTACTGATCATGTTTGGTGTCGCTGAACGGAGTTTAAAAATATCTAGAAGACCAATGTTCCCAACCTCTGATTTGTCTAAAAATGACGTAGAGGATTAAAAGTAGCCTGGGTTCATTGCCGTCAACCATAATGTGTTCCATCTGATTTTCATTTAATGAGTTGTGGGAATCCAGACCCTTATTGATTTCTTTAATAAACTATGACTTGAGGCAATGTTTGAATCCAATCATAGGTCCAATCCATAGCTTCAATCCTCTCCATTTCATTCCACAATAGGGTACTCAATGATACCACCTTTGGGGGCCTTAGAATTCACAGCTCTTCTCATAAAACCTTAACTAGTATTCTTGAATCTACTTAGTGGAGAGTACATTGAATCAATGAATAATAAACACATTTGATTGCCATGAAATCATCTAGCCTGACAGCTGATATGGCCAAACTTGGCTTCCCCTGTTTTTACAGGTGAGGGCTATTATGGGGCTGATTCAAAACAAAAGTACAAGGATGGAAAGGTTGATGGAGTCATCCCAAGCCCAGAGAATTCATCACTGTCATCAAAAGGGAAAGGTATTTGAAAGAACTTCCTACTGGAGAGAGGCTCAAAAACCTAGCTTTGAGGTAGAGCAAGAAAGCAGAGTAACAACCCACAAGTTGCCTCACCTCCCTTCCCTTCTGAGCCATCCTTGGCCCAAGGAACATTTCCTGGGAAAAGGAGACAGGCATTCTCAGCAGTATCTTGGATGCAGGTAATCACTCCTTGATGACCCTTGTCCAGGTGACCAGATGGCAGCCTGCTCCCTGCCAGCATATCAGGCTGGGTTTGCTGTGAACACCTGCACCCCCTGTCTCACTGAAGATTCACACTTGTGTCTAATTTGAGCTCAAATGTCTTAATGCAGAAACCTGTGGAGGCCAACCCAGTCCCTCTGATAATCAGGCACATCTGTATTGTCAATTTCAGACAATACAGGCGTTTAACGGGAAATAGTCTTCTTTCCCACTTGTCTCTAACGTCTCTTCTGTGTCTAAAAAGTCTGAATGACATAGGCACCTGTTTCTACCTTCTGGCAGCTCTTACTTTTACATTGCATCTCCTCACTACTTCCATAACCTACAAATGTCAGTCACTCCTTCAAGGCCATCTTATCTCTGTTATTTACAATCATCTCATCGATGGATGCCACGTTCATACCTGACAGTGCCTACAAACTGTTCCTTTCCCCACTTTCACTTAGTTCCCCATCTGCTCCATCCATCTCTAGCTTGTACCTTCCCTGCATTTGTTTCCCTTTCATCTTCTTCCCCTGTCTTCTGAACAGTATTGCAATAGAAACTTTCCCCCAACCCTCCCTTTGGCTAATTTGGTTAGCGCTAGCAGACACTTCATTACATCTGGATGCAAAAGCTGAGCTGGGCCAAAATGACTCACATGGTCTGGAATTTGTTTGCATTTCCCCTCCCTGGATCCCCTTGGTTTAACTGCTGTCTAAAAAGGAGGACAAGGAGGACAACGCTAGTCCTGCAGATGTTTGGAAGGAGATGAAGGTAGAGAAATAGAAATCCTGGTCAATAATACCAGAACAGTCAAACAAAGCAAAATGCTTGTGCAGAAGCCACCTGCAATGAAAGACCATTAAAAGTCTGGGAACTTCAGTCCCAACA